TTGCTACCACTGCGGCGTCTTGACACGATGCGAGCACGCCTAGGCTGGGCATCTAGATTATAGATTTGGAATCATGGTTACCAAATTTAGATCCTTCATGATGCTACAATAGCCTCTAGTTCGGGTTACTTACGCTGGCTTCCTCGAGACTTGCCTTGGTGGCCCCTGATGGCATTGATGATTGCACAAGAGGCATATCAGGAGATCCGATACCATTGAAAGAGGGAAGTGCCGAGGTGGATACATAGCAGTTGACCATCTATGAACTTGAGGTAGGTTTTGTAGAAGTATGTGATATATTATAGGAGTGCACGGGTACAAGAGTATCTCATCAAAATATAGGGATAGAAGTAATTCCACGGGTCTTCTTTGATGTACTACAATATAGTATAGCTTCAAATTCAAGTCTGGATATAACTCTCGTGTATACCGTAGAAGCTTTACTCGAGACCATTCACCTCCAGACCATCTCAAATCATAATAAGTTCATAGCAAACTCTTTAGTATAGTCGCTATAGACTGGCTAGAACCATTTGAAACTCGGGGTCTCACCCTGAAGCTTTTCTCAAAGATACCTCGTAGGTACATTAACTAGTAGCGATGGTTGATCTCCCAGCATCGTACTAACACAATGCAGAAATTCCCATTAGATCCTAGGGAAGCTTCTATGCCAGTCTCTGCGAAAGACTTGAGATACTCACAAGAAACCCCTTAGCAGAGCGTTGGAATAGAAGTGTGCTATCTACATATTGGCGTAGTTCTCATCGCGCGGGATGTCAGTGCTTCACACCCATATTATATACGGGGCTATAGGTAGTAGTGTTGATAGGCCCATGTAACCACATCATTCCGATCTTCCCCTAGGTCAGTCCTGCTATATGAGATGGATCCATATAGGTCTTATACCAGAAATATGTGAGTTCAAGTCATGGAAGTATCACACTACTAGCTATAACTAAGATATAACATAGCGGCGAGGAAATGACGCCGCTACCGCTCAAGAAACTATGATCCTAATAGGTAGCCAGAACTAGGCATATATACGTGTAGCCCCTCTGTCTGAATTGTCTCAAGAGAGCCCTAGGGTAGACCTCCTGATCTTTTTTATAGCTCCTAATAGGTTAGTAGCTAAATTGATATTCTAAGTGATTTTGCTTCGCCTTCTCCTCTTAGGATAGACGGCAGTCCTTAGAGCACAATGTGCTAGTTTCGATAAGTAAATTGGCAATTCGTGCCAATGGTATTGCAAGCAGACAGCACTCCATAGGCTTTAGCTATAGTATATTCACAACATGATATATAAGGTACTTTATAGCGATCTTGCATCTAGCTTGGATGAATATATTAGACCCTAAGTTGCCTACCTAAGGTATACGAATACTTAACCATGTAGTTTAAGCTAGGAAGAACCATGATGAAGCTACATGACATTCAATATGGATATACGTCGTGTCATAGGAATACTACCTAACCTACCTAATGTGCCCAATCCGTAAAAAAGATATAAAGCACATCTAGGAAACATCTCGCCTTAGTTAGAGGACTACCGAATGAACACGCCATTCAAGTCGTACGCCGATACAAGACCCTAGAATCTGCATAACCTAACCTAGAATATCAGTTATTATTTCTAACCAGAAGACTCTATTAATGAGTCGGTAATTTATACGGACGAGGAAGCTAGAAACGAGGGAAACGACAAAGACGATCTAGAGAAGCAACTGTCTTAGACGAACTATAGGTATATCTCTACTCCCATTTGGAGTGCCACAAGTTGAAATATCTTGTACAAGTAAAAGGGAACCAAGAGGTTTTAAGAACTGTGCGTAGACAGCTATTGTTTAATTCCACGATTACGCCACAGGTCTTGGAGAACCCCCCAATGCGTTGCTTCGAGGATAAAACCACAACGCTCAATACTTCACTTCAATATGTATTCACACAGACAAATCACAACAAGGACCTCAACGTGGACTTATTCTCATGATCGATTGACTCAGCTAAAATGGTCGTAAAGACGATGGGGCACGTCTCTGGAAAGTATCATATCCGTCCTGAACGCCAAAGCAAAGCAGAAAAAACCTGATATGCCATATCAAACCAACTATGTACAGACCGGGGGTGGTAGAAAAGGATTCCTTAACGATGAGACGCCTTGCCCATGGTTCGTTTACCAGCAAACTATTTATCATGTTAGCAAAAGACCACACGGTATGTATATAGTGGAGAAAACTTACCAAATGTTTAGGCAGCGTGGCGCCAATATGCCTATCAGCCTCACCCTGTCTAGCCATGCGGTTCATCTTCCTCTGGCTCAGCTTAGCCTGTCTCTCCGCCTTCGTCCTTGTCTCCTCGTCCTGTACACCATCGTCACGCCTGTTTGTTGCCGGCTGACTTCTTGCCCGGCTCGCCGCCCGGCTCTTCGAGCGTAGTCTCTCCTGGGGTGTCTCGTCGATATCCATAGCGTTAGAATCCTCAGTGCCAAGGCGACTTCTGGTAAGAGAACGGCCACGGGTCACCGTTTGCGATCTTCCCCTGAGTTCCAGGTCTTGAGTGTCAACACCCATTTGGTCAAGAGTATCCTCAAGTTGAGATAGAGTCTTCTTGATAGCCTTGCGAGGTAAGGCTGCGCGGTTCTTGACCCTACGCATTCTCGACTCGTTCCGAATAAGTGCCTGCTTCTCTCGAATGATCTCTGCCTTCACTTTGATATCTGCTTCTTCTGCATCATCAATCTCCTCATCCGAGTCGTAGTATCCTTCCGCCTCAAGCTTCTCTTCTTCCTCTTCCAGTGCTTGCAGCTTGGCTTCAATATCAGGGTCAATGTAGTCGTAGACATTCTTGCCATCGTAAATCTCGGGTATTCTGTCATGCTTCCATTCGGGGTTTGCAAGAATGTATTCAGCCTTCAAGTCCACATTGTACACACCAGCACCACCATTCTCAGCTTCAACGTCACGAGCCAATTTGCGACGTTCGGGGTCTTCCTTGTTGTATTTCCTAAGGTTCTTCACAGCGTCGGGGATGAAGGTCTCCTGCGTAGCACCGCCCATAGGTTGCGCCACATGAATTCTGGCCATAACATCTGCTAGCCTGCCACCAATGGCACCGTTGTTTGATGTGCCTGCTTTCAACTTCTGGGCAACTCTGTCTGCAAGAAGTCTCTCGCAAGCGGCATTTTTAACTTCCTGTACTCCTTCTTGCGTATTGCAGGAGAGCTGGAGCAACTCTACCTCACCAGAGGAAACTAATGACTGAAGTTCGCCGCTCGTCTTCTCATCTAGCTCCTCGGGTCTTAAAATATCGATCTTGTTTATAACAATAAAGACCAATTTGTTTGAGAATAATGGCTTAATGCTCTTGAATAGTTGCATTTGCGCGGCAACTGAGTAACCACACTGCTCTGAAAGATCCATGAAATAAAGGATAGCGGACCTCAAGTGAGCAATAGCAGTAATGGACTGCATTTCAATTGTGTTCATTTCCTCGAGGGGGTGATCCAGGATACCGGGGCTGTTTTGCGTTAGCATTAATTACACTTTGGGCCCCTTTTGATCTCCAAAGAAAGAATAAGGAGCTTAGTGGAAAAAGTATATATCGAAATAACTTACGTATCAATAGCCTGGAAACGAAGGTACTTGTAATCGAAGTGACCAACAAACAAGCTCTTAGTGGTGAAAGCATAAGGCTGAACGTCCACGTCGGCTCTAGTTACGCTACGCAGGAAACTCGACTTGCCAACGTTGGGATATCCGCAAATCAGGAGAGTGCGCGTGGTGGGATCGATGGAGGGAAGTCGACCAAGATGTTGGCGGACCTGATCAAGGTAGACTAGAGGGTCCTTTAGTCGCTTAGTGATAGTCGCCATTCGACCGAGCGCGGCCCTCTTGAGCTGCTTGCATTGGAACAAACTCTGAGCATACTTGAGAAGTCGCACATAATCTCTTGATATGGTTTCGATGAGGTGCTTCGCGGTTGAAAGATGACCGAGGGCGATCTTGAAATGGTCGGCATCGTAGAGGGTATTTAGGAGATCCTTATGAAATGGGTGAATGTCCTGGAGTCGGGGGAAACTCTCAAGAATTTGTGCAAACTTTTCCGTGAAAGTCTCTTGAGTGAACTTGACTTTACGAGTATAGAATCCTAATGATAGCCAGTTAGTACCGAGCGCAAGTTAGACGCGACCAATGCTAGATAGTGTACGAACCTCTGATACGACTAATTTTGAATCCGGATCTAATCTGAGTTGGTAGACGTCGTTGAGTTCTCGATAGAACAATATCGAGAAACTCCTCCGACGTTGGGACTGGTGGTATATCCTTCCAAGTAGTCTTCATCTTGGGCGACAGATAATGCGATTGTGTAGTTAGGATTGTTGGTAAAAAACAGCCGCGCAAGGTCTAGCCGTTCTTCAGCTTATCGACCTTTTTTTGGTTGTATTTTGAAAAAAAAGGCGGAGTGGAGGGACAGTGGGAGTTGCACTTTTGCGAAATCTTGGCGCAGAAAAATTACTTATCGATTATCTTATCTTATCAATGATAACTTTATCTTAGTGAAGAAAGTGGAAAAGTTGAGAAATGCGCGATTGCTCTTTAGAACGCGACGACGCATGTGAAAATTGAATTGTATTAATTTTATCAATCGATCCTAGATACGAAATATATAAAGTTGACAAATTTTATAAAACCCTTCGAGACTATTAGTATTAAGTCAATTGATATATAATCGAATCATAACAATCCTGATCTTGTAAGTTACTTACGATGCCTTTTTTTTTTTGTTTTATTCTTCACTTTTTTTCTTCTTATTTTCTCTCGTTACCCCGCCATGAGTTTTTATATCCCACTTTTAAAAGAGCTCTTTTAAAAGCTTCTTATCCCTATCCCACCCTTATGAAGCAATAGAGTAATGAAGTAATTCGAATTTTACCTCATACTAGATTACTCGGCCTCCTAATATTATTATTATAACTAATCCCAGCTTAGATACAAATCTATAAGATGAGTCTTCCGCAGTATAAGAAGGACTTCCTACGGGCTGCCGTCGAGGGTGGCGCCCTACGGTTCGGGTCTTTCGAATTGAAGTCGAAGCGGATATCGCCATACTTCTTCAATGCGGGCGATTTCTATACTGGTGAGCTGCATGAGCCCATCATGGATGCATACGCCCAAACTATTGCCACAAGCGAACTGGCCGACGGTTTCGATGTTATCTTCGGCCCGGCTTATAAGGGTATCCCATTGGCCGCCACCGTCTTCTACGCCTTAATTAAGCTAGACCGCGCCAAGTACCGCCATGCCGCCTATAGCTTCGATCGCAAGGAAGCGAAGGATCATGGCGAAGGCGGAAGCATTGTCGGATCGCCATTGAAAGATAAGCGTGTCCTCATCATTGACGACGTTGTATCTGCCGGCACCGCCAAACGTCAGGCCATCGACATGATCCGAGCCGCTGGTGGCACTGTTGTAGGCATTATTGTCGCTCTAGACCGCCAAGAAACCTTACCAGAAGGCGACGGTAAGACTAGTGCCATCGGCCAGCTGAAGAAGGAGTATCAGATCCCTATCATCCCTATCGTGAAGCTCGACGACATCATCGACGGTATGAAGGGTGTTATCTCGGAAGCTGATATCAAGAGCATCGAGGAGTACCGTACTAAGTACGGAGCTAGCGATTGATTAGTTAGTGTCACGAAGAACGCGTTGCTCGAGTCATCATCATCATTATTAAGGTGGTTATTATTAGACACGGGTAGGTTTCCGATGATCGATGCAAGATCGAGACGGACAGTTCAAGAAAAAAAAATTCGTAGATTAAATTAATCAGGTAGATAAAAAAGTAAAATGTTTATGCAGTGAGAGCTGCCTGTCGTCGAAAGTCGATAGGTGCAGACGCAGACGGAGAAACATTGTCCAATAGGCTTTTACTTGAGTATACGATATGATACCCCCCCTTTTCCCCTTTCCGGCGGAGAATTTAAAAAGAATATGCATTTATACGGTATAATATTAAACATGGCTTACGGCACGAATGAGTGGCGCCTCTTTATTCAACTTCAAATCCCGAATTTTTTAAGGGAAAAATAAATAATAATAATCATGTCGTATAACCACAAATGACGAGCACGACCAACAATCTGCATATACCATTTACAGGCAATGCGGAACCTGTGAGATCCAAGAATAAAAAAGATACCGTTATCCCGAAGTCGTACTGTACAATAAACACGAGGCGAAAAGGCAGGTGAATAATAATTATTATTATTATTATTGTTATCATTAAAAAAAATATTATCGAAACACAAAAAAAAATAAAAATTTTAATTTCATTCATACTCACCGCCTTCTGCCGCTAGACCACACAAACACCTTACAACAACGCCGGCTTACGTTATTGAAACGTCTCGGAGGCTTGCTCATTTCCCTCGCTCAGCGGCACACAACACTTAGAAGGGGAGGTCGGTGAGAGGAAGAAGAAGCTTAGACGGGAGCAAGATTCATACGGTATAAGCATGTCGCTGTTAGAGTAAGTAAACCTGTCTTCATGCCTACATACCTACATACCTACATGCCTACATGCCTACATGTCTATTACACCTCACACCTGCGCTGCGCTACGCACATAACACATAAACATGTCCAACACATACTCGCATACATATACATACCTATACATCTGTCACCAAGGGGGGTCGTCTCAAATGTGACCAGCCAACCAGAGACCCCAATCCAACCGAACTAACCACTCACGCCTCACCGTCTCTCACCGTCTCACCTCTCGGGCGTCACCGACTTGACTCCCCTACTTATCTACTTTACTTACACGCTCCAACTATCCTATCTCCCTTATCCTAAGTAAAAAATAAAAACATTAATAATAAATTTAATAATAATAATAAACTCTCACGAGAAAACAAAAAATTGAAATCATCCTCCCAAGCTAAGAAAATCAATATAGGTCCTTCCGCAACATCTCGCCCCGCGCCCGCATAGGCGTTAGCTTGGGCTTGTTGGCTTGGGGCGCCATCGGTCTGCACCTGAGTGATCGGGCCGAGGCGCGGTATGGCTTCACGCCTACCGAGGACGACAAGGCCGCGCTCGCCAAGATCTTGCCGAGTGTCACCGTCGTCGAGAGGAAGAACGAAAGGGGGGACTAGTGATAGGTAGTGGCAGTGGTGGTGCTGGTGGTGGCGACAAGCAGCGGTGAACGAACGGAATCACCAACTTGGACGGAAATCACAACGGAAGGGGGAAGTGGGAGTAGGCAAGAGGCGGGAAAGGCTTGCGAGTGAGATAGCCTTTCGAACGCAAGACAAAACAAAGCTGGCTGGCTGGCTGAGAGAAAAACTACTACCTATGTATACGTGTATGTGAATATGAATATGAATATGAATATGAATATGTGCCATGTACCTAATGTATGTGGATAGGTAGGTGAAATACGGCGGCTGCTGTCGCCGGGCTAGACTGGGCTAGGCGATGGCCGGTGCGACCTATCGGATGCCGAGCCAGCTGGCGGACTGAGCTTTGGGGGTTAGCTGGTCTGGTTAGGTGCATACATACATACATAGGTAGACATACATACATACATTGGTCCAGTTACCGTGCAGAGGAAGAGGAGGAGATTCGCCACCTCGAGAGGGATGAACAGGCGGGCTTTCCTAGCTGGCTCCAGTTGTACATATACGTACGGTAGTTTGCAACGGCAATGCCAATGCTATACTATGCTATACTATGCTAAGTTTGGAAGCTCGACGAACGTTTCGATGCCTAACCTTGGGCGATCTATCCATCTATCCATCGACGTGGGAGCGGAGGGCGGGAAACGAAGGGAGAAAGGGGGGAGGGGAGATGAATGGATCGATGGATGGATAGTCGACGAGGTCGGGTTTGCTAGTAGACAGTCAGACAGATAGACAGACAAAGACAGACGTGGCTGGACTGAAGTAGCTCCGGCTAGCTCTAACTAGCCTGGTCAGATCCGTGCCACGTAGGATAAACGTGTGATGATGGCAGATCGACTAGGTAGGAGAGGGGCACGAGTATGTAAGGTAGGTATGTATCGACGTTCGTTCGTTTCGTATCATCAGACAGTAATAGTATGTAGGTATGTAGGTATGTAAGTATGTAAGTACGTGCGTACGTATAGGCATATACGCACGTAGCAGCGTTCCCACAGACAAGCGCCAGCAGCACCCCTGGCGAGACCGTCAGACGTCATACACGTCGATAGTTAGACGGTAGACGAGTGGACAGCAAGGGCAGAGACCTTCGCGCTCCTGGAACGTGGTGGACGAACGGCGCTTCTTGTAGCGAATGTTGCCCGTGCGGAACGTATAGGTATGTAGGTATGTGTATGCGTGTATATGTGTATGTGTATGTGTGTGTGCATAATAACAATATACCCTGTTCCGGGATAGCCTCTCCCGCAACGACAGCACAGCTTTTCCAGCCTTCCCTTCTCGGCCGCGTACCTAACCTAACCTAATCCTAGACAACCATGGATTGTTCATGTTAGTTAGTTAGTTAGGCATGGTACCTACCTTTAACCGGACGAGCCATGGGAACGGTTCGAACCGCCCCTGCAAAGCCCTACATGCATACACACACGCACATACACATGTTCAGACAACGCAGACCAAAAGTTGTAAAACTCACTCTCAGTTTAGCAAGAGAGCGAGCCAGCCAGCCAGCCAGCCAGCCAGCTAGACAGCCCAGGTAATGTATGCCCTGCTGCCCTAAGCCTAAAAGCCCTCGGTACGTGAACTTTAGGATAGCCGCTAACCCACGTGGCGGACCCCACGGGCGGGCAAAAAGGCCGAAATACCCAGAATCCATACTACGGTCGACCCGTCTTTCCCCCAGCCCGGACGCTATACTCGACGACGACGACGACGTGTGTATAGTATAGTGTACAGCAATGCATATGCCATGCCATGCCATGCTAGCTGTTCCTATAGGCAAATTAGGTAGGTGATCAGGGAGGCGAAAAACGATACTTACGGCTACCTTGTGGTACCTCGTCGACGATTCTAGCCCATGTCCTGCTTATCTTGGAGTAGTTATACCTCTGGCAGGAGAAAATAATAATAATAATAATCATTTCTTAGCCTCAATATTTTATCCCAGGCAAGTGAAAATCCCCGAGATGTGCATACAAAGCTATGTCGCCGCCTACCCGTCATCTAGACGATTGGGTTGGTCAGGGGGGTTCCACTTCCATGTGACAAGTCATTTTTCTATACCCAGTTTCTTATATTCAGTCCACTACCTTAATTGAACTGCTTTGGTTGTCTGTGGTTATGGAACATTCCAAATTCTAGCGTACCGGAGACTATGCGGGGGAAATTATCTATACTATTTCCGTTACACCACTGTTTGGTATTAGCGAGGGGAAAATTAAATGGGAACAAGACACTTTTCCAAATACAACATGATAATTATCTATAGCATACCGTAAATCGTAACAGGAATTAAGAATAAACATCTTACTTAACAAGCCTAGTATAGTATTCCCTTTGCTAATAAAATTATGGGCGCCATTTGAGAGACGATGGATAAATGTAGTTCTTTTTAGAAAAGACTTGAAATTATGAAAACCTACGGTATGAAGATGAGAATTCTTCTGCATCTTACTGCTAACTAATCGTTCACGAAATAACAAGTTTCACTTTGCACGCGGGTCTTAGGGACGTGAACAATAGAAACCATATACTTTAATTGTTCTGATCTGTAATCTATCTCATCCCGTAAACATCAGTTGAAGAAAAACATGCTGCAATGAGTCCGCCTCCTACCCTCACACTTTGCTCGAATGCCACCCCTATGAAATAATGCGTACCACAAGAAACGAGACCACTCCAGGAATTGTTAACCGGTCAGTGTAGACGTAAACATCATAATCACCTCCCAAGGGGGGTTTTGTGGGACCTGCTTTTTGAGCTGGCCTGAATCTAATCATCGAGTCTAAATGCAGACGCCACAGCCAGTCTAGTTTGTTGTGAGCCAACCCGGAAAATGCAGAGAAATTGCCGCCGTCAACCCGATCCGATGCAGAGAGAAGAATCGAAACTTTTTATGAGGCCATAAATAAAAGGAAAAATAAGGAAAGTAAAAACATCAACGAAACGCCACATTTATGCTTTTTTATGTTGATCTTGGGTAGATTAATAGTCGCCTTTTTTGCTTAAACTTCCGTTTTAACAGCGGGCATGCCAGGAGACTCCACGACTGACGGCAAAGGTTTGAAAAGTTGCGTCATGTCTAGAGTAAGATTGGTAACGGCAAAGTCGTTGTCGATATCGCTTACAGACCCGAGTTCTTCGCCTCTTGAAGCACCGTCCGTCATAACCCACGACTTCACAGTTTTGAGCAGTTGAATAACCTGCCTAAATCGACTATCCGGGGCCAATTGTAAATCCGCCACCGTAGTATGCTTGAGCATCCATTTCGCAAGCCAAAAAAAGTGTATTCCATCACGACAAAAGCCGTATCGTCGAGGGTTAGAGACCGAAGGAGGAAACTGGATCGCCATATCCATATCCCAGTACGACTTAAACTTATCGAGCGCAGTACAGAGAGTCTTATATGTTTGAGCCGAAAATCCAGCCACCGGTGTACCAGTTGTGCTATTGTTGGCGCTTGCATTACCACTTCCTGTATCTGATCCATTAGAGATAACCCAGTCATTCTGTGAAAGAGGTGTGGCAGCACCATCCAACGCAGCAATACGACCTTCGATTTGAGCACGCCGAATCTGAGAAATGATGGCGTGAATCAATATAAACTTGCCATATAAGTTGGTGCTTCCCGGGTGTATTTGATATGATGCATGGAAGAGAGCGGCGAGTGTTAAGTTTAACTCGGGTTGCTTGCTGCGTTGTGATCCATCTGGGTTTTGTCTCCTCGCCGCATCAGATCCATACAAGTTCAGTCCCTGCGCGCAATCGACTGCGGATTGCGCTTCCCAGACCGCATCGTCTGCAGGCAAAGGGACCCGAATCTCAAAAGAATCAAACTGAGGTTCGCAGTTGAAGTAAAGGGTACGCGCAACATCAAGAAGATATATCATATGCATCACTCGTATGCGCGACTCTTGTTCAACCCACGCCGCCCAATCAAATTGTCCCGGATTCAGATCTTCCAACGATATTTTTGGCTGATGGAAAATGCTGTATAAGGCTGAGTCGTTTCTGACTTGCAGCAGATCAAATCTTCGGCTAATATCCACCACCAGAGGAAAGATTCTCCTAGCACTTTCGCGCTGGATAGGTGTGCCGTTCCAAATAAGAAGCGACGACATTAGAATAAGTGCCTGTAACCGCTCAATATCCCTTCTGTCTCTGCCGTTGCCGAATTTAAGACCGGCTTGTGCTTCGTTGCTGCCGAGCAGATCGCAATCGCGCTCGAGTGCTATCTTTAAAAAATTTGTTATCTCTCGAACGTTGGAAGAGGCGGCATTATCAGAGTAACAAGCGCCAATGCAACACATCGCGGCTATGAGACCCGTATAAGCCTCCATGATACGGAAGGTGGGGATGTGGAGGAATGAAAAATGGAAGTGAAAATGGATATATGAATCAAGAAAGTCTCTAATGTTGACAGGAGAAAAGAAGTCGTTAAGGCCGGCGGTGTGGTTGGAGGGTACCGTGCCGGGCGGGTGGAAGAAGTTGAGGATCTGCGACGAGATTCGATGGTAGGGGTCGTGCGTCGACGGTTGCATGCCCCAATTCGAGAAAAAAAGCGATCGGTCGTTCACATCGTTCGGGGCCATGCCTGGCATGCCACTGGTTCTTTCGGAAGGAAGGTTAGGCTCGGTTTTGATTGCGGTCTGATTCTGTCCAATATTAGGAGGGAACTGATTGACGTAGGCATGGTGCGCACCAGACTGTGGAAACATCTGGGACCAGTCAAGGCCAGATTGTTGGTTTGAGCCAGAAGCTCCATACATTGGCATGCCATTTTGGCCCGGAGGCATGTTGAAGTTGGCCAACTGAGGGTTGATATTCGAAGATATCGAATTCGACACATCGCCGTTGTAACCGCCGGTCATGCTTCTCCGATCCCTGTTACCGTTCTCGTCCATCCGACTCATACTGCTTGATCTAGAAAGCTGGTTCTGGTCGTTGGCCATGTTTCCCATACCATCTTGGATCTG